GGGCCGTGGAAATGTCTTTGTTGCCCGGCCTGAGTTTCTCTCAACCAACTGGCGCATCGCAACTGCCTGGACCCCAAATATGAAATTGACAGTAGAGGGCCTCTTGCGATATGTCAGGCCGCCTTCACTTAGGGCGGGCAATGCTGCAAACAGGGCCCCTTAGGCCTACCGAGGACCTTGATCCTCGCACTTATAAAAGCTGTTAAAAAAAAAAAAAAAAACTAAATGTACAGCAGGGTCAGCAGGCACTAAACTGCCTTTCTTTCCCCAGCAGCATCACAAACTGATCACTACTGTATGGTCACCTTCTACATGATGATCTTACACAAAAAAAAGGACACGTACAGAAAACAGTTGAAAAAGAAAAAACATGAATGGGCAGTAGTCATCATCTGAATGCAATAAATGTTATTGCAGCAAATGTATTCGGCCCGAAAGATATGTGCAAGAGATGACTTAGCAAAGCTGTAAAAAAAAAAAAGTAAATGTACAGCAGGCAGTAAACTGCCTTTCTTTCCCCAGCAGCATCACAAACTGACCACTACTGTATGGTCACGAAAAGGACACGTACAGAGAAAAGTTGAAAAAGAAAAAACACGAACGGGCAGTAGTCATCATCTGAATGCAATAACTGTTATAGCAGCAAATGCATTTGGCTACTATTCCCCCATTCAGATCGATTCCCTCCTCCTCCTCCTCATCATCATCATCCATATCCACCCACATACACAGTGGTATGGACTCTCAATCTATTAAATCAGATCGGACTACATTGGCAGATTCGCGCATTGATGAATTGACGGATTGATGAATCGCTGAATTGATAAATTACTGAATTGATGGACACAGTTCAGGTAACAGATGAGGTAGATGAACTGATGGATTATGGATGATGGATTGGTGAATTGGTGGATTGGTGCATTGGTGCATTGGTGCATTGGTGGATTGGTGGATTGGTGGATTGGTGGACTGATGGACTGATGGATGGATGGATGGATGGATGGATGGATGGATGGATGGATGGATGGATGGGATGGATTGGATGGATGGATGGATGGATGGATGGGCTAGTGGGTTAAAGGTTTGATGGGTGCATACATGAACCCATATTGATGAATTGATTGATAGGGATTTAGATCGATTATTATGATTAATTGATTGATCAGGATTTGGTGGACGAGTTGGTGGATTGTTGGGCCTATGGACTGATGGATTGCTGGGTTTATGGATTGATGGGCTAGTGGGTTAAAGGTTTGATGGATCAACTGATCTTTTAATTGATCGATTGATCGATAAGTGCACATGCTCCCATATTTCACTCGTCGGCTCATTATGAATTCATTTCCTTTATAATGTTCATCTCTTAACAAAACATGCAAGGAAGGACGGCAACATATCAAATTGGGATTGCATGCATGCATGCACGCGCGCATAATGGAAAGAGGAAGGGTTCTGCATCAAATAAATACTGCACGTGCAAGTAGACTAGTGACTCCAACACCATTGGGTAGTAATGAATGATAGAGCCAATTACTGAGCCCACTGAAGGTGGCCAAAAAGAACCTCCATCTCCTCATGCGTCAACGCAATTGAACCCTGATGCAGCAATGTAACTGCTCTAGTGGGAGATTCCCTGATACTGTCCCTGTCCCCATCCCCTCGGGCACTATCGGGACTCTGGGGACCCTTGGAATTATCTGGGAGGGCAGCTACCACATCATCATCGCCATCATTGGCATTACTGTTCTCGTCGATGGCTGAGATATGGTCATCTGAACCAATTTGTGTACCTGCCATAACCTCAGCAGAATCGGTTTTGGGGAGGTCGAGGGCAATCGCAGCGTCATCACACCTATGCATGGCAATGTTCGGGATTGCCGCAGCACCGTCTTCTCGTAACCTGTCTTCATCTCCAACCTTTGCATCCTCCCTGTGTTTACCTGCAACCTTTGCATCCACGCTCTGTTGATACATTTAGGACCCACAGCGACAACAGCAAGCGATCAGTCAATTCATCCATCCATCCATCGACCTGCCCATTTAACCATTTGGACAGTGAGTCCACCAGTCAGACAATCAATCAACACCAAACAGGCAAACATGGAAGAATTCGCCAATCAAGAAAAAAGTTCAAAAAACAAAGAAACAAACTAAACATGGGCATTATGACTATCTTCTCCTACAGCGTGCAGATGAGACGGGAGGGCAAGTGGGGGTAGGAGGAGAAGGGGGTTGAACCACCAGTCCATTCGACCCCGTACTGTAGATTTTTTGGGTACCGAATACCGCAGCAAAATCTACACTGATCTGGCATGGCGGAGGTTCGGAGGGGAAAAGCTGCTGGGCCCAAAAAAATACGTTGAAATGCAAGGAAAATGAACAGAAGCGAGATGACAATATTCAGAATGCACAATCACATTGAAAGCCAAATCGTAACACAGTGTTCAGAAAGCAGCATTGCACCAATAAAACACAGGCCCTGGGCGAGATTCGCAGCCTCATACACAGACAGTTGGGAGGCCCAACCGAATGAGGCCCAGTAGCTGCACCAGAGGCGCAGCATCCTGGGGCCTACCGGAAGCTTCTGGGCCCAGGCCAGTCCAGCCAGGCTGCCGAATGAGGCAGACTCTTTCCATATAGGAAAGAGCTCACTGCCAGGCCAGGCATTCGGGCACTCGCATGCTGGCGGCAGCGCTGCTGGAGCTGAAGCTCGTGGGCTGCTGCTAGCGCTGAGCAGCGAAGTGCAGGCACGTGCAGTCGTGCAGGGAGCAGGGCGCTGCTGAGGGCAGCACCATAGCCCAGCCTCCATAGCTGGTAGGGCTTGGATGTACAGTGAGGCGCAGGGGTGGTCTTCGGGTGTACAACAAAGGAAGACGTGGGAGAGTGTCAAGGGAGAGAGAGAAGGATGATGATGATGATGATGATGTGAGGGCACATACCTGGTATTGGCGATGGTTCTGCATGGGCGACATCTTCAAGTACTTCGGGTGCTGCTGACGTCAACAGTTGCATTGTCAATTAGTAGGCTAGTAGTAGCTGTGTAGGGAGTAGGCTGGGCGCCGAGCGCCAAGTAGGGAGATAGAGACTGGATACATATGTTGGTGGTGGCGAGAGCAAGCTCTCATTGACATTGACTTTCAGTGCGACGATTCTCCATTGGTGTTATATTGGTGCAATGCTGCTTTCTGAACACTGTGTTACAATTTGGCTTTCAATGTGATTGTGCATTCTGAATATTGTCATCTCGCTTCTGTTCATTTTCCTTGCAATTTGGTATCGGAGCTGGTTCGAACTGCGCTCATTGGTTCTTCGCAATAGCTGTTCGGTGCTTCGCATGAGGTGTGGGGCAGTGATAATGCTTGGGCGTTGAACGGTAGGCGGCCCAGGGTCGTGTGGGCCCGCCAGGAAGCTATGTGGTGACATTAGGGCTGTACACTGGATGATGAGAGCTCGCTGATGTGGCATTTAAGCCGAGGTGGAACTGCATTCTGCTGTTGGTTGTGCCGAGGCAAAGACCGGTCATCATAATTGCACATCAGGTTGCCGGTGAGAAATCTGTGGTTGGGGGCAGCATTATAAGGTACGTTGCTTCCTTCCTTATCTACCCTCTTCATTGCTTCTTACCGTGAGGAAGTGAGTCTTGTCTTGAGAGTCCTCTCAATGTGAGGTGTCGCGAGTGCTCAACCTTGAGAGTCGACATTCTTCCTGGGCAGCAAGCTGGTGGGAGACGGGTGATGCCTCTGAAGGGCCCTGGACGAAGCACTCGGGTCACGGTCACCATGCCAACCCGCTGGGACTAGTACACGCATGCTTTGCCGCAAGTCCTTGGTTCTGCTGCTGCGCAATAGAGGTCATGCAGGGCATGCCAGCCCTTTGAACAGACGCTTACCAGACCGTCTCTAAATATTTCTGGCGGGGACTCGGTGTTGATTCTGGCTGTGATCGTCGTCCTGTCTGCGACGTTAAATAATTCTTGAGGAGTTACGGGGGATCTCCTTAAATGCCTCCTGATCAGCCAGATCAAACCGGGTGTAAGGCTCGTTGCATGAGACGATAAATAATGTGCAGGGGCTGGCAGGTTCAGGGGCACAGGGGTGGGCCGGATTACACACCTTTAGACACGCTGCTCAACCAGATGCCTAGGAACGTCGACACAAAGTGACTACTCAAGAGGGATACAGGGAAAGGGTTGGATTCCGGTAACTGTTCGTGGTGGCGTTAATTAGATAAACTGCCATCCAGCATACATCTCTGCAGGGGGCATTATTTTTTTATTATTATTATTTAGTTGTTACGGACTTGACTAACAACTGACAGACAGCTGCAGATAGAATAGTATATTCTTTGCTGCATTGCAATCTGTATTACAGTAATCTAAAAATAGAGTTAATATTCCCTGTAGGATCTGACACTGGGTGACACCTAACCACCTAACTGTTTTTGTCCAGGCCGACCGAAGTTAGCGGTGTATCATAATCGGTTGTGTGTCATGCTGAGGTAGGATTCCGTGTGGATTCTAGTTTATATCACACACACTGTAGCTCATGAGTGATGCAAGCACTAGTGAGGAGGACTTGTTAGTGGACGACCGTAGGACTACTCGTAGAACTGCTCTCAGTCGACCTTTGACTTTCCTAGAGTTAGGTCCAGGAGACGAGAGGAGACTGCGGAGAGAGGCTAGAGAGAGAACAGCGGCAAGAAGAGCGACGGTGGTTGAGGCCAGTGCCAGGTCTAGGATTACAGCTAGCACCGGTACGACCATGGGTACTTCCTCTACCATGTCGCAGGCCTCTTCACAGGCCACTTCGTCAGGAGTCAGTCAGAGTGGTTCTCGGGCTTCCATTAGCCAGACTGCTGGCTTGCAAGTCCAGTGAGCAGGCTCAACTCACGCCGAAGGATTATGAGATCCTCCAAGCAGAAGAACTTCAGGATGAGTTGCAGCGGCCGTTGGATGAAGCAGCGGAGAGAAGAAGAAAAGCTATAATGAGGAAAGTTAGACTAGGTAGTAGATTGTAGGAGCTAGGCAAGCTTTAAGCACTAGATGAGTCCACATTAGACCCCGCTATGCAAGCACTGCGGAATTCGCTCCTGTGTGTGGCGGAGACCCAGGTTGTTCAGCAGGAAGTGTTGGCTGAGCTAGTGGTAGGCCAGAAACGAATTCTGGCTGCATTACAGGCTCCTCGTCCAGTGATGAGGCAACCTCAGTTTGCTGTCGCTCCCCCTTCGGGTGCGGGTCCATCAGTGACGTCGTCGCCGGTAGGGCCTTCATTCTCACCTATGTTTGGCATGTCCCGTCCAGGTGGTTATGTGGCGACTAGTCGTCCGGTCCTTAAGTCGTACCATCGACGACAGTGGTTACTACAATCCCATTGTCAAGCCAGGCCCAGGTTAGTGTGCAGCAACCTGTTTCGGTGGCTATGCAGCCACTGCAGCAATCCCCTGGGCCAATGCAGCCTATGCAGTGGATGCCCAAAATACCCTTGTTGAGTCCTAAGCCCTTCTCCGGCGACAGGAAGAAGGATGAGGATTTGGATACCTGGGTAAGGACGGTGCCCACTTATGTGAGGCACAAGCTTACCAGGCCAGAGCAAAAAGTTGTAGTGGCTGCCTCCTTCCTAGAGGGGTCAGCAGCCCGCTGGTTGAATGGCCTAGTGCAGCAGCAGGGCTACGGTCAGAATTTCGATGCCTGGGCCCAGACCCAGACATTGGAAGAGTTCGTACGGTCCGTGTATAATAGGTGGCATGATCTGCAAGGGGCCCAAAAGGCCACAGACGCGATCAACAGTCTTTGTGCCAAAAGGTACAAGAATGTTAGAGAGCTGACGGATACCGTAGAACGTCTGCTCGCAGTACCTGGTGTGCGCTATGACCAGCATGTACTCCTTACGGATTACCTTAGATGTCTGCCTTCAGAGGTTAGGACAAAGCTGGTAGACGAGGCCTATGTCGAACAGCACAACTTCGCTTCATTCAGCAAGAAGGCCTTAGACATAGAGGCAAAATTGGGATCCGCGCATCAGAGTCAGGGAGATGGTACGAAGAAGAGACTTCCCCAAGACTGGAAGAAGAAGGGTCAGTTAATGTTCGTTCACCACGATGGTCAAACGACGGAGATTGACGAGTTCCCAGATCTTGGGGATGAGACGGAGCATGATGGGGCCAGCGAGACATCGGATGGGGGAGTTGTGGCACCCATCAAGGAAAAGGCTAGGGGGACCGGGAAGAAGAAGGTAAGCCGGTCTACGGGTCAGGGCGACCAAGGAACGGCCGCATGGGTGAAACTTGGTTTAGAGTATGAGGTGTGGAGGGACCGAGTTGCCAGGGGTACGTGTATGAACTATGGCAACTATGGCCACACGTCCCGAACGGGCCGAGGCAAGAAAGTCCTAACGAGGGTAGCCTCACCAACGGTGGTGGGACTATCTTCGAACCCTGGCGGTGCTTTTGCGAGCACTTCGCAGGGAAACACCTCGGGCCAGTAGGAGTTTTAGCCACTCTTACTCGCGCTGAAGTGGTAACGTTGCCTTCCCCACTTCGGGCGTTGGCCAGGGCTAGTGACCCACGTATCGCCCCGCAGACACATTCAGACCCACCGACACTTTGTTCGAGAGATGTGTCTGAGGCCCTAGAAGAGTTAGAGATTGAGTGGTCAGGAAAGGACCCCAGGGACTCTTGGGCAATGATCAGTAGAGGTCCAAAGGGTGAACATTTCGTGGTAGAGGTTGATGTAGGTGGCCGCAAAATTCGCGCCTTCGCCGACATAGGCTCTACGCGAAACTTCATCAGTCGTGCTTGTGTGGATAGACTGCGCTTAGGGGACCAAGTCCGGCGGCTTAGCAGAACTGTAGCTTCTACGCTAGCCAACAAGCACCAAATGTTTGTTAAAGACTATGTCAAGGACGTAGTCTGTTCCTTCTCTTATGGAGGAGGGGAAGTGAGACATAAAATCTCATTCCTCGTCA